GCGAAAAAGCTCGTTAGTAGCATTCTACTTAAAATGCTTGGACAATAATGCTAAGATACGTACAGTCTTGTCTTTTTTGTGTACACATTTTGCCGTAATGGATCAAGGGTTTGGGTGTGTTTGTCTGTGGGCGGGGAATGGCCTATGACCCCTTCTCTAAAATGGTAAAATAGTTCAAAAATGTTAGGTAGAATAACTTACCAACGTAACACAAAGTAAACCAATTGAATTTAAAACCGAGAATATAAAAATGTATGTAACAGAGCTCAAACACACTTTTTGAATATTATAAAATTCACACGTTTCACATCAAATATATCATTTATTGTTGTTTTCGAACCCCCTATTCAAAAGTGCTGGCTACGGGCCTAATTCGGCCAAGCCTCTAAACAGTGTAGAGGCCTTTAGGTCGAAGACAGAGAACCGTGCGATTCGGACGATGGTTGTGATGTAGCTTCATTGCTTGCAAAAAGACGATGAAACCTCATCAACCTGGTGTGTTTCTGTGTTACAGAATGACAAGAAGGGCATACTTGCAAATATATAGTTTTGGGTGTAAATGGGCATTTGCCAAGGAAAACAGAGAAAGAGGAACAGAGCCGAGATAAGCTGTTGCATGTGAAAATAATTGATTGGACTTCCAAAAAAAAAAATGTGTCATAGCAGACATATCCAGAGTGAGGCATATATTAGTTCACACATGGACTAGAACAAATCTGATGGCACACCACTGAGGGGCATCACAAGGGATGATGTTTGTAAGTGTGCACTGCAAATATTTGACCAGTTCATATAAGATAAGAAAACCAATGATTTCCCGAAAAATGTCTTTCACGTGAGATGTCAAATGTAGTGCCTTATAACATATGTTATATGTATTGTAATTTACATATTTTAATACACATATGAATATTCACAGTACATATAGTCTTTAAAATATTTAAGCAGTAAGAATATAATTTTTGGACTAAATTGGACTAAAAATATCACACATAGTGATATTTCTCAAGAAATGCAAGCACGTTATTCTAACAGAGGTGCCATATTAAAGATCTTCAAAAGGTTATCAAGTTTTTTATAATGCATTAAAACAATATGTTAATGTTATTTTAAGTTGCATAAATTCGTAAAAAAATTCTCAGATGTTTGAGCTGTATCGTCCCTTATTACGGCGCATTCAAGCTTGCTATACGTTTTACAGTAACAATTAATTATGTAATTTTACACACTATCACGTTGCCTGAATGCCTGCCATAATTTAATAATAAACAAACTACTGTAATGTATTGACAATATATATTTTTGTGTGCAAGTTTTGAGATGTGGAAAGTTGCTTTTTTTTTTTATAAGTGTTGTTCCCTGTATGACCGTTCCCGTGCTTTACAAATGTCACTCCAATGACAGTAGATCGCATTGCCATCTGATTAAAATTGTATATATTTATTTCACTTATACTATTTTTTTTAATTGTTTTGTATTTTTTTTGTTACGTACTTGTGATTCGGTATATTTTTAACTATCGCCACATACATTCGTAATTACCAAAACTTTGAAAACTATCACGAAATAAATAAAATAGATCCAAATAAAATAAAATAAGAAAATTGATCACATTGTACAATGTCAATATACCAAAAATAGTAGTATTACAAACACCGGTTCCAATTATACTGGAAACAATGCACAATGGAAGCACTTTACAAAAGCAGTCAGCTCACCAGTTCAATGTAAAGGGCGCCCTCCCATGTCAAATGATAGACATTTTACACACAATGGTGTATCAATTGTTGAATGAGGGTTGCTGGAAAGGTGCATTTTGTTACGTTTCTGAGTTTCTATTCTGCAAATGCATCATCTGAAGTTTTGATTGATTTCAAAATATGCACAGAAATGTTTTCCTTTCAAGTTATGTTATGTACAATTTCTAATATGTGCTTCTCCAAAGAATGGTCTCTCATACTTCAATCTAATTGATGTTTCCTTCAATGAAACCTTCATGTGGTCTTGTTTGTTTTTCTCCTGAAAAATGTAGTTTAAAAAACAATTTTTTGATGTGGTAATGTCTGTCTATTTATCAGATGTGGCTAAAAATACTGATGGAATTTGATATCTGATAATAGTAAATTTGTTACAAATAAGAGGTTATTGACATCTCAGATAGGTTTGAAGCATGGACTCCAAAAGCCGTTGACCACTATATCTGATGCATGACATAACACAAGACATGTTATTGTTGTTGTGTCTAAAGTTGTAGAGACATTTTTAATAACAGTCTATCAAGTCATGGTTTTTGTGTATAAACTGTGCTAGGCATTTATTGCAGTGTTTTTACAGTCAAAGAATTACATAGCATATAATGTACATGAAGACAAACAAAAATGAATATTTCAAACAACTTGTACGAGAAATAATGATAGCAAAGTAAACTTGTCTTCAAAACTACAACCACAAGTTGGATTTTATTTATATTCTCTGACCGTGTTGACCAGGTTGTATTTATATTCTCTGACCGTGTTGACCAGGTTGTGTTTATATTCTCTGACCGTGTTGACCAGGTTGTGTTTATATTCTCTGATCGTGTTGACCAGGTTGTGAATTTCAATATGAAGTAAATACTTTGCTTTGTTTTCATTTTGTTTTTTGAGGGACAACATAGAAACAAGCTGCCAAATACTTTGATATCACTGTGTTCAAGTCTGATGAGAACCATCATCCTACAACGGCACAAAGAACATTCCACAAGAATGATTTCAAAAGCCAAACTTAAAATACATGTAGCAGTCATGTTAGGATGCAGGTTAGACGATTTAGAACGACTTGTATTACAGTGACAATTTGTCAATGAAAATAAACGTTATAGCATAGTGCATTGTGGGTAATGAGAAAACATTCATCACAGTGTTGATTTTTTGATACTTAGTTACATAGGAAGTACAATGCATTGTGGGTAATGATAAAACACTACATCGCAGTAAGGATCTGTTATTGAGATACAAGCAAAGCATCACACACTGATATTAATTTTACTTTCCAGGTTAAATATCTCAATCAAAGTTGTATATATAAAGCCTGCGAACAACACATACAGGTTTAAAAATTAAGTGCTGGATACCAAGTTATTTCTTTTTAGTTTTGAATGAGTAAAAAGGCACAAAAACCAGCAAAAATTGAATGATGACAAAATGTTGGTCAAGACCGTAGTAGATGAACTTGATTTTAAATCCAGGTTTATGTTCATCAACTACAGTTATTAAAAATTAGTTATGATAATCATTACATAGGAAAAGTTAGGAATAAAAAAAGCCTAGAGATTGCAAGCAATACCTATATAAAAACCAAAAATGTACAACCCTGAGATTATGTGTAGTGTCAGTTAGCGTTTTACTAGTCGCTTGAACACTGCCCTCAAACATAGAATTGGCATGAAAACAAAATAATACAATTGTTCCACCTTTGGAACACTGTTCTTGGCTTCATTATTCACTGGGTTTTATTTTTGATTATTTTGCTGATGGATAAATTCCCGAAATTAAAACCCAGTGAATATTTAAATTTAACAGTTGAATGCAATGTTTCCTTCACAAATCAGTGAAATTAATAATATCCAGTAAATATCCCTGAACAACAAATTGACTAAAGTTAAACCTGGTAATTTTTTCCACTCTCTACAGTAATCAGTTTTATCATCATATGACAGATCTTTGAGAACATGACTAGTTATGGTTGATATTCCAGTTGATAACCAAAACCTCCTGCAACACCACACACATCAACAGAGCTGCTAGTTTATCAATTTTTCCAGCATTAATATACGTAACAAAAAAAGTTTTTTTTTTCCTCTATAAAGTTTACTAAAATGCTACAAATATAAGTTTCACAATAAACATAATTTTTCCCCTGATTTTGGAGACGAAAAACAAAACCTGAAAATGTTGAAACTAGGAGAAAACGCAAAATCAACTGAAAGTTTGAAAGTGACCAAACTTTTTGTCTAATATACATAAATATATATTAAGAATTTCTTGTCCTGTACTATGAATTATATGATTGGATAAAATGAAAATGGGTATAATAGAACTTTTCATATGTAAATACAGCAAAGAATAAACTTTTGCAAATGCTACTTTTTTTTTTTATTTATTTCTAAGAGCTATACCAGAAATTCACTCTTTTTTTTTCTTTTGGGATGTATATAAAAATACAACATGATACATAAAGATAAGTCATTTTTTTTTTTATTTATTTTTTTTTTTTATACCAAACAGACTATAACAACTATAGTTAACTGGTTGATATAAACATAGATAAGACAGCAGTGGTAGGCAATAATGGCTGACTCCGGTGTTACAAGACGCAAAGACCAAATAATATTATAGTGACGTAAGGAAGCAAACTAGTCCAATGTTTTGCCTGTATATATACAGGAGATTCCATGCATCAATTTGCCAATAAATTCAGACATCAACAAAAGATTTCTTTGTGATTCAGAGCTGAGCAATAGAGAAAGCAGAGGTCATCCAGGTTTTATAATTTAAAAAAAAAAAACGTGGAAGAGACAGAACAGTTATTATTGATTGGTTTGATAGGCCTCATCTGCTACTGACATGTCAAGGGAGTCAGTTCTGAAAAGAAAGTTCTCAGTCTCAATAACTGACTGGAAAACCAGTTATTAATATTTCCATGCTAAAGATTTCACTTAAATATATGAATTGAAGATAAATCTCATCTTATTCTGCCTATGAATTATGAAAGCTATACAAAAAGTGTACAAATACAGAGAGAGAATCCACCAGAGGTAGTGATATTAAAACAAGACAAGTGGGAAAGCATGGGGATGACATCACATACAAAACATTATTAACAGTTGGTAAATTTACTAAAATTTAAAATTTCTGTATAAAAAAAATCAGTTATTCCATATGCAGGTAAGACATACATGATGATGTCCCACTACTAAAGCTGTTCAATACAGCACAATAGTATACATAATTTATTTCCCCAATTTAGACTAAGAGGCATTCCCTCTATTCATTGGTAGTTTCCTTGGCAAACACTGACCAATCACTCTCCAGCAGGACAATGAGGTGTCTGCACAGTGGTTTACTAGCATGCATCACATGTGATAGTTGAGGCCCCAATTACATTTCTGTACAATTTTGTTATGTTTTTGGCCCCAAATGTTATTCCTAAATTAAGCACCATGTCAATAAAATAACCCCCATATAATGCATACATGCACCTTTTCACAATACTGAGACTGGATTAAACTACTTTCAGCCGGTTTCAACTGGAACAAACTGGTCCAAGTAATGTAAAGAGGTAATACCATGGCAACTTGAAAATCTAATGAAAGAGTGAGAGTATAGTGGCCTGTGATTGGCTATGTTCCACAGTAATTTGCATATTCAAGGTATCACGCCATATAAGGTAATGAAAAGTATGACTCTCATCTCAACAACAATGTGTGCTGTTTTCGGTTTTATGCATAGAATTCTTTTCCTGTGTCCTTCCAATACATATTGGGGTCTTTATACTTCTTGGGTTCATCCAAGGAATAGCTGCCTTCATCTTTTTTCCTCATACGATACACAATGAACATCACTAAGAGAATGGCAGACAGCAGAGCAATCACACCACCAGCAATGATAGCTGAAAAGAAACACAAATTTTAATTTCTCATCTAATCTGGATTCAATGTGTGCGCCTATATCATATTTGCTCTATTAACAGCGCATGTGCTTACATGTGTTCAAAATATCACATCATTATAAACTAACCTGCCAGGATGGCTGGATTGGAGAAAAGGAGCTCCATGAATGAAGCAGTGCCTGTACTCTCTGCAGAGTTGCCAATGCTATTAGGTGGCCCTGTGCTGAATTCCACATCATTTTCTCCATCTGGTATAATATCGTTAGAAATCGTACTCATTTTGTCATCTGCTGGATCAACTGTTATATCACTATCACCACCTATGTCTATATCAGGTAACTTATTGTTGTCAACACCTTCAGTTGGCTCAGGTTTAGGACGTTTGGGAGCCTGTCAGAAAAGAAAAGGGATATTAGTAACAGTAAACTCTGACTGTAGAATAATGCTTGATTCTAAAATCTTCATAGCCATATAGCATAGTTATCTTTAACCTTTTCACCACCAGACTTTCTCACCCAAATATTTCTGCAATTTGTTCTTATACATTGTATTCTTCAATATTTCTGCAAATGAACCCTAATTTTGGAGTCAACAGAATAAATTTGAGTCATTTTTTTTTGTTTTTACCATACTCAACCGCGTTAGCGCCCATGCCCGGGCAAGCGCCCACCCCCCACTTTTGCGCAATTTTTATATTTGGGGTCACATTCGGCAAAGCGCCCACCCCTTCAAAATGCAACTAATTTAAAACTTGGTCTTGCGTAACGAATCTTGGTAATCGTTTTTGTATGATACAGCGTGGATATTGACCGCTGTGAACATGAAATGGGCAGTTATTGATTTTTTTGCTGAAAATGATTATTCGTATCCAAGTAAATTTGGGATGTTTCTCATGTTGTAGCCACGCCCACCAATCCTGAAACGGTCGACTGTTTCCGGATTTCCGACTCTCGCCAAAAGTGCGCCACCAAATACCAAAATGTGATAGAAAGTCATACCCCTGAGCCATAATAACACTGGTCATTTAGTATACTTTTAAACGATATACATTTTTCAGTCGGCGTTTTTTTTCTTTCTTTTTTTTGTCTATTTTCTTTTTTTTTGAGTGAGTTTTTAGATGTTGTGTTGTGGGCAGTTGCAGTAAAACGTATAGTCATAGTGTAAGTATTCACAGGTTTCTAATCGACCCGAAGGTGCGACATCAGTGGACGAATGCCACTTAACCTCAGATTCCTTTTTTTGGAAAAACTGTCCTCGTCCATGAAAAAAACAACTAGGTTCAAAGAGAAACGCCGACAACATAAACCTGGCGCAAAACTTTTGAAAGAAATAGATTCCGGACCATGATCACCAAAGCGGATTTCAGAAGAGAGAGAGACGTCTGACAAGTGTTTCAAATGAGTTGACTTTTTTGCGATCGTGATTATCATTTTATAGAAACCATTTAGTCCCTGTTATTAAAGTAAAAGGTAGCAATAATTTTGACAGTGACACGAAAACGAAGCGTCGGACAAACACGAAATTACACAACCCTTACACACTGCT